TGTACACGTATGTGTGCGTGTGTGTATGTGTGTATGTATATGTGCGTGTGCATGTACGTGTGCGGTTTGCACACGGATTGAACATAGCAGAAGCCAACCCCGGCAAAGTTAGTAACTTCACCTTGACTCAAGAATTGATTAACTAACTGTTAGATAATCGAATCTAACCTGCAATATTATGCGATGCTTGAGGGAGGGTAGGAACGGACGCGGGGGTAGTGACATTCCCAGTTCTCCGGGGTACAAAAATATGCCATTTCCCAGTTCCTGAATAATTTTTTAAATGCAACTGTCCCGCGTCCCGTTTGACTTCCATTTCCGAATCATGAAATAAATTCATTCGGCATTTCCCAGTTCCCAGATAATTACAACGTTCCAATCCCGCGTCCCTAAAATAACCTCCCGCACCCATCCATCCTTCTCCTCCTCCTCCTCCCCCTCCTACTCCTCCGCTGTCTCCTTCTCCTCCTCCTCCTCTTCCTCCTTTGCCTCCGCCTCCGCCCCCTCCTCCCTCTCCCTTTTCTTCTTCTCTTCCCCAATACTCGTGCGCGTGCCTGCTGAGATGGTGATACGAATTTCCATCTGCGATTCACAGGTGGCGACACTGTTGCTGGTCGCACGGAAGTCGGCGGCGCCGGCAGGCGAAGAAGCCAAAGTTGCGGCGAGAGTGACGTCTCGCGGCTGCCACGTCGCATATCACTTAAATGACCTCTTCCGCTGCCATTGCAATCAGAACAGACGCAAGCGAAACTCTTGGTGCTATTCGATATTCTTAAAAATTTGCGGCTTCTTATCGAGTAACTGCCAACCCTAAGCATCACCTAAACTGGAGATTCTCCAGCCTGAACGCCTTGGCAAACTGGAGACCACACTGAGTGCGAGGATCGCGGATTGCGAGCGCCGAAGGCACTCGCCTATTACGGGTGGTGTCCAGGGTGGAGCCCGTAGCAAATGCTACTTTTGCTACTATTGTTATATTACTGCAACACTACTGCTACACTACTGCTATATTACTGCTACACTACTGCATGCTATACCACAGCTATACTACTGCAACACTACTGCTATACTACTGCTACACTACTGCTACACTACTGCTATACTACTGCTATATTACTGCTATACTACTGCTATACTACTGCAACACTATACTGCATGCTGTACTACTGCAACACTACTGCTACACTACTGCAACACTACTGCTATACTACTGCTACACTACTGCTATACTACTGCAACACTACTGCATGCTATACCACAGCTATACTACTGCAACACTACTGCTACACTACTGCTATACTACTGCTACACTACTGCTATACTACTGCTATACTACTGCTATACTACTGCAACACTACTGCTATACTACTGCTACACTACTGCTATACTACTGCTACACTACTGCTATACTACTGCTATACTACTGCTACACTACTGCTATACTACTGCTATACTACTGCAACACTACTGCATGCTATACCACAGCTATACTACTGCAACACTACTGCAACACTAGTGCTATACTACTGCAACACTACTGCTACACTACTGCTATACTACTGCTACACTACTGC